TGAATGCAGCTCCCTGCAGTGGGTCCATGCTATAGAAGGAGTGGCGAAACAATTCTGTAGTTCCACCAAATTTGGGCATTATCTCTTTCGAGATTGCATCAACTTAGCCACTTTTGTCCTGCAAGAGGCTGCTCATCAACAAGAGCAGCTGCCAGCTCGAATGAAGGCCAGGGAGCTGTCACAAGGATGTCTCAGCTCCACTGGGATAGGTACACTTGAGCTTACGCGGGACTTCCAAGTGTTGGGAGCGCATGCCTGTGACAACTGTAAATTGCTGAAGAAAGTCGACCTTTCGAACACAAAGATCGAAGAAATCCAGGAATTTACATTTGTGCACTGCACTAGCCTTTGTGAAGTCAGACTGCCATACACGCTCCATACCATAAGAGTAAAAGCCTTCATGAACTGTGCTGCACTGCCAGAACTAGCCATACCGCCCTCACTGCACTACATTGCCAGTAGAGCCTTTCTGGATTGCGCCGCATTCCGTAGGCTTGTCAAACTCCCAGGCCAGCATAAATGGAGGGGAAAATACGCAGAAGAAAATGCTTTTGCTATTTGCCCAGCCATGAGATGGCCGCCGTGGTTGCACATGATCCCTGACAGTGGTTGCGTGCCCGGCTTAGCGTAAGGCATACTTCTCCTACTGTTCGAGTGTAAGTAAGGCTCCGATAAGCAGATAGAGTCGTCATTCTCGCCTTCATCGCCTGCAATTTTGTGAGCCTACCGGGATGGGAGCCTTAGCTCTTTGTCCATGGAAGGCGGGTGGTAGCAGAGCGGTTGATGGATGGCGCCCAGGGAGAACCTTAGTTGCTCGTCTGCGGGAGCCGAACCACAGCCAATCTTGTACAAAGATGGCATAAGTACCATGCTGGGATAGGTCTCTGTTTCACCAGTTTCACATGGGCCATGCGTGTTGAAGGATAGTGACCTCAACGCTCACTATCTGATGGAAGAGTGAACACACTCCCTGTAACCCCCTTGGCTAACACGTGGGAGCCATTGGGTGTGCTTCCCTTGCGGGAGGGAAATCAGCACGTCGTTAGCAGTCCTTTCGTTGCAATGCCTTCCACTGCCACACTCAAGATAAGCCTCTGTTTTTCGTATGTGCAGTCAGTAGTATGTATGGATTGTGCTACGGAGAGGGAATTTTCCACGGCTTGCCATGCTTTGCAACTGATGACTCTTTGGCATTTGTCATCTGTCAACTGCTGACTTTGCTCTCGGTACCTCGTATGATGTCAAAATACTTCGAGTGCCAACCATCAAAAGTGGCTTGGATGACCTCATCCTTGCCAACGGAGAGAGGCCACCTTTGATTGGCCGATCAGAGCAACCACCCACGATCAGAAGCATTTTGCCTTTCATAGTGAAATCAGGCCCTTAGATATCTTGCAGCTCGTATTTTTCACCTGTCTCACTGCAGTACAGAGGAAACACTGCCCACATTGGTTGGGGGTCTTTGGTGGTGGCTTTTGTTTTCTGTTTTGGTTTTGGGTTTTGGGGTTTTGTTGGGTGTTTGGTGTTGGCGTTTTCGGGTTGCTTCCCCCATCAATATGCAGTGTTTCCTATCCTTCTATGATGACCTGGGCACACCGCCCACATGGCGTCCGCACTCGTGGAAAAAAGAGACAGAGGCCAGCGGATTGCCGGGCCCGCGGCTGAGATGTGGAGTGCAGCAAAGCTTCGTGTTTGGGACTTTTTTGTGGGGAGAGAGGAGGGTTCCTTTGTGGGTTTGTTGGTTGCTTTCTATTTTTTGGTTTGCCTGTTTCATGGTGACTTCCTGTCCGCAGCGCAAGATGACCTGTGGATTTTTTCTGCACACATGGCGTCTCCGACAGGAAGCGTTTTTTCCCATCCTTGCTGACACAAGCGCAAGGCGTCTTGTGCACTGTCTTTGGCTTTGCGAACGCTTTCGCTGAATGGCACTGGCTTGGAAGAGGTGCTGATGTTTGTTGAGTCATTTGCCTGGACGGCGGTGTCCAGAAGTTCTTACACATCAAGAGCCCATGATGGACCACGCAACACAAAGGTCAAGGAACAACAGTCCGCTCATGGCTGCATCGCTCGGGTTCTTGGGGCGTGCTGTTGACAGTAGTGCAAGAGTTTCTCTACAAGCGACTTGGCTGTTGACCCCACCAGGCGTGAAGGTCACCCGATTCAAAGAGGGTGACTGGAACACAGTCATTTGTCGATCAGTGCAAAGTGTTGCTTGGGGAACAGGAAACATGCTGCCTCAAGGACGAAGACTCCAGCCCAGTTGTATGGGATGTCAGGTGGACCAGACTCGTGATCAGCGCATGCCCAAAGAACGTCTGTGAGTTCTTACGACGTGAAGACCACCAAGACGCGAAGGCGGCCAGTGCATCACTTCTTCTGGCTTACGATTGTCAACGACCGAATCACGGCAGTCATGTCGGGGACATGCCCTGTGCGATCTGTGGCGTCGCCCCCATCTGCATTGGTTGGTTGCGAACGAACATCCGCAATGGCAACCTCGCCCAGGTGCGAATCAAACCCAAATATATTACGTACAGTGTCATGCATAGCAAGAGCACGGTACGCGTCTTCTTTGGCAAACTGGTTTGTGTGTCTACTGCCTTGCGCAAAAAGGGCTCCATCAGCTTCCGTGATCCAACCTGTGACCTCTTGCGAGTAGCACGCAGGATCAAGCGTGTGTGCATCCGCACCATCATCAAGGTCGAGCAGGTTTGAGGGGACAGTCGACTGGTCAAACCCCGACGGGTGTGCACTGCTTTCAGTCTGGAACAACGGCGCAAAGCGATTGGGCATCAGCATCTAGTTGCAGCAACCGAAGCGGTGCAAGCAAGAGGCCTCCAACTAAGTTGGTTGCTCTCTGCAGGTGCAGATGCCCTCAGCTAAGGCTGATTGCACCTTGAAGCAAGCCGCGGCTCCTACTGTGGCCTCTATTACAATGCGCGGTACCGACACCCCGTTTGCGTTTTACAAAGTTTTATTTCGGTTGGGGTGAGGAACTTCCAAGAAAACACAAAGACCAACAGAAACCCAGGAAGCGCAACCTTAACATTGTAGTCGCTGTGCTTCTTCAAACGGGGCGCTCCGCACTTGCGGCAAGGCATTCCAAGTTACTTCGCGCTCAACCATTCTCAACAAATGCTTGGGCGTGGGCTTGGCTATTGATGTGGCCACAGATAAATTGCATTTTGCGGTGAATTTGTGGCCTTCATTTGGAGTCCAAAAGCCCTAGCAAAACCGGTCTCGCCACGGAGGCTCCCCAGTCTGTTCAAAGCTGCCGCACATTGGGTTCTCCGAAACCATCCCCTTTCTTGTTTTGGGATGTCTTGGCTCATTGCGGCGTCGCGGAGTGGATGTTTCAAACCGCTCAGGTGGATTGTGCACTCACTGGTGTCGGCCACTCAGGGTCGACCTGTTCAAAACTGCAAGACAGTGACAGGCGACCCTCTCCTGCCTGACCTGTTGGCGATGCAAGATGGTTCAACAAAGCGGGACGATCTCTGGCATGACAGACTTGTAGTGGGACAGTTCCTTGAAGAGCTTGTGGTAACGGACGGACACTGCTGTGTTGGCACTGGCAAGTCCACGACGCTTCGGGCGCACTCTGCCAGCTCAAAATGCAAAACAACATCGTGGATCCTCATTCAAAGTCCCTGTTCCTGGATCTCGCCCATTCAAAATCATGGATCTCTGGTCCGCAACTTAACTCAACGAGGCTGCTGGGCTTTCAGCCCACCACCTGACCCACTGTGGCGCCCGCGAACATGTCTTGTTGGACTCTTGAAGGACAGTCTCTGTGCTGAGGCAACTGGTTTTCTGAAAACGATGAAATTCCGAAAACCCGAAATGTCTTCGTGAAGCACTGCTCCAATCAGCATTTTGTTTCTGGAAGGCAATTTAATTCGACTCCAATCCGGAACTCACAAAGTCATTTTTTGCTCCATGTTCTTTTGTTTCCGGTTTGAGAGAGAAAGAGCGGAGCCGGTGCAAAGGGGGCAAGTCAATTGCCGCTGGCGAGACAGCAAATTCCGGTTGAAAATTCCAATCAAAAGAAGAAGGTCAAAAACTCCAATCACGTGAGCGTGTTCGGTCCATTTTGTGCAGACTTTTGCAAGTTCGGTGCCACACTTGTCTGATTTTGACCCCTCAGCTCTGACAAACGACATGACATGCAACACAAAGAATGAGTGAATCCAGAAAAAAACAGGCGCAACAAGAATTGAATGAAACAAAATTTGCAAAATGAGGCCAACGAGGCATTTTAAGGTCTTCAGCGCCAAAGTGACTGTGTTGCAATGATGCAAATTCGAACGACATGCATGGACACAAAGTTCGCGCAGCAGAGAGCGCTTGACAGCCCACGCAGTTTAGAACGAATTAATTTTTCTTTCGCAACGCGGTGTAGGGTCAGCAAATTCAAGTTCGGTTTGCAATCTTTACTTGTTCCATGAAAATGTTTGATCATCGAGGTGCTTCTGAGAGTTTCCCAAACGACAGGTCCCACTTTAATTTGCGTTGTGACGGGGAACCTTTCAGCCCCACATGAATGCTTTAACTTTGATCAATTGCATTGGTACCAGTCATAGCGACCCAATGAAGCAAGACACCACACTTGTCAAACATGCACACCGATTGCAAAAACTGCGGTTCACCAAATCGTCACACAAGTTTTGTCTCATTGTCGTGTTGTTGTTCATTGAGAACAGCTTTCCAGGACGACAGTTGTGATGATTGTTTCAAGTTTGTTTTTTGCTTTTGCCAAGCTTTGTCAAACTAATTTTTGGCCACCGGCATTTTAAAGTTTGTGCTCGAAACATTGCCTGAGTTTGTTGCAGAATGGCATGTTGAAAACCAGTGACGTGGTCTTAGATGTTTGTCTAATTCAAAGGTGAGATGGCTGTTGGGTTGGACAAACATGTTGTTTTCATTCTTGCCAACAGACATCATCAAACACATAAACCAACCGACTTGAAAATGTCTGTGCTATGAAAGTTGTCGATTCAGTCAAAACCACCCTTCTTTGAATGTAGACTGCTAACAATGTCTGGCCAGCATTGCAGATGCTGGCCAAATGCCGGTGTGGCTTGCGAACGTGCGGCGCACTCCTGCTTCTTTTTGGGATTATCGGCACCATTGTCGGTATGGTCAACGTCTCCTGGCAAAATCTCCAGAGCTCCACCTGCAAGTGATGAGACGTTGAAAAACTATAACTAAGGTTTTTGCGACGGAGACAGGCTCAGAATGTGCTGCAAATTTGTATGTTGTTTTTTAATACAGCATCAAGCGTAGGTACAAAGCCTTAAACAATATCCAATCCAATGTTGATACGATCAACAGAGGAACACAGGACTTCATGTCACCCAGTCACAAGCGCAAGGTGACTCTGCTGTGCTGGGTGTCAAGGTGGGAAAAGAGATGGGATTGGACTTCGACTTGTGATGAGATCACAGTTTTGCAGTTCCAAATGCACAAATTGGTGTGTGCAGTTGTGGATGTTGCTGTGTGAGAGGCACAGGCACTCTCCAAGGAGGCCGATCATATTGCATTCGCCAAGGTCCGAGCGGGGTCATGTTTTGCGTCACAGGTAGTCGCACCACAATACAGAGAACCCACCACATTCTATAGAATGCTCAGGCAGTCCAATACATATAACTAGATTCACGGAACTAATTGCTAGAGTGCTCAACACAAGCAGGTTATTGGCCGATCGTTGAATCATTACAAAGGCGGCTGCCCTTCAGGTTTTGACTGCATAAGTGCCACATCGCTCTGTTGATCGGGTTTCTTGCCCACCAGATGCTTATGCCAAGTCCAACAGATGATGTGCATCCTTTTGTTGGGCGGATATTTGAACTGGAACTTGCCAGACAAAAAGTTCACTACACCAACTGCTAAACCCAGTTCTGATGAGCTTGCTATTCACTTGTTTTTGCTCTGTACACGGGGCCAGGCTTGCTCTGCAGTTTGTTGGAAAATTAGTTTGGCGGATTGCTTGCGAAGATGACGCCAGAAGAATCTCAATTCAAAATACATAAGTTTTGCTTGCCTGACCCTATGCACAACTTGATGTTTTTGTGGTGCAAGGCGTTGCACAAATATGTGTCAGCATCACCAGCATTTTTAGATACTATTTTGCTGATTTGGGCAGCTGTACCAGTTTTCATCCCGACTTGCTGAATTTGCTGGCATAGAGTAATTGCTGGAAGTGACTAGCAGCTTTGCCTGCGAATCCTGCAGGATATGCATATCCCTCACAGAGCCTGTTTGGCTTTGATTGGGACGCAGAACCATCTTGAGGAAATTACCATGCGAGTCGCATGGCAGACATCCATGGAAGGGAATCGTATTGTGTTTTGCACCACATAGTCATAGTCATTTCACTTCGCCAAAGTTTTCGTCGACTGATGTAGCTTGCGTACTTCGGCAGCATAGGTGAGCTTCACTCTCTCTCTCTCTCTCTTGCTTAAGGTCCAACATTTGAACAAAATGCAGAATTTCAAGTTCGATCATCGATATTTGGTCTTTGCACCCTGGCTGAAACCGATTGCAGAACAACATGATGTACATGGGTAGCGGTAGTGGTGGTGAAAACGCAAGTAGCGGCGATACTCAGAATTGGTGAGACATTCGCTTCTGACTTTCTGTTTGGGGACTCAGGACACACGAGGCTGGGATGGGAAAGCAGGGATGGGAAAGCATTTGCATGTGTTGGAGCTTCTGGGCTTGTCATGTTTGTTTGCCTGAGCCTCGTTGCAGAGTGCATTGCTGTTCGCTAGTCAGAGTAGCGATGCCCTTTGTTCCTAGTAGCGTAGTAAGGCCAGGAGCCCCTAGTAGCGTCCTTTGCTCCTAGTAGCGAGGCCAGGAGCCCCTAGTAGCGTCCTTTGCTCCTAGCAGCGATGTCCTTTGTTGTAGGTGTCCAAGTCTCACCTCAAATGCAGTCTATTGCTGATGAGCTGGTGCGAGAGAACTCTGTTGATACTTGGACGACTGTGGACTATTCACCAAGCTACAAACTCAGCTTCTTGGAGGGATTTGGAAATCGAGCTCACGTTGAAATGAGTGTGGCAACCATGAGCTATTTAAAGGGACTGTACCAACTATGACTATGTCTCTTTGATAAGATGTGTGATCGGCAGCCTGTACAATGTGGCTGACACTCCAACATGCTTTCTCAGGGACCAATCAAAAACTGTCAAACCAGTTTCGTAGAGACAGCAAAGGTGTCAACCGAACGGCAGAGTGGAATGACAGCATCGCAACGCGACAGTCTTCTGGTCACGGAGTTTCTTTCGACGATGCGCAGACAGACGATGTACAGCTGGCTTTCTATTTTGCAATCGACAAATGTGCTGCACACGGTTCTCCTTATGTCGCAATCTTCCAGTTGGATCAGTGCCTCGGACATTGGAGGAAATTTAACTTTGGTGCATTGGCAGTTTTAGTTTGACATTGCCAGTCTTGCTGGCCAACATGGTGGTGACATGCTGGTGATTCTGTGACTGCCGTTGCCCACTTGCTGCACTGCACTCGTTGCGGCTTGTGGTGGAAGTTGGCAGCTTTAGCGAAGTGGCTTGTGTTTGCAAATGGATGCCCTGTTCTCATAGCAGGTCGAGACTAGATTTAGATGGCAAGAGTGCAGGATTTTGCATTTCTGTTATGCGCGACTTTTAGGATCCTGTATTCTGCTCCGAATGTTTCCTGGGTGGAGGACGGGACATCAGATTTGGTGATCTGAATCTAAAGGCAGACACCATTTCACCAATAGCCTTTTGTATGTATATATACATATAAGGTAACATTATATATATTTTGATGTAGTAAAGTGTGCATACTGTATCGACCTACACCTTTGTATTTCTTGCCCGTGTAAAGTGTAATGTCACCTGCACCCTGCGAGGATGCAATTGATGTGCTTGAAAGAAATCAAGATCTTGTTTTGGTGAGTCCGGCTTTCCCTGGGTTTGAATCTCGCAAACTTCGGCAGCGGCCCACCACCAGGCGGAGCTTTTGTTGAGTCTTTTTTTCAGTTTGAGTTCGGCCTGAGTTATGCGTCGTGAGGCCTATTGCAAAGGCGAACTCTGGCCAATTGTATGGTTCTGTGGAAGCGGAGGACACAACGTGCCAGCATCCCTATACGTTGCCAGGCAAATCGTCTGACACGACAAGGCTGTTTTTGTTTCATTCACGGAGGATTTCCTCAGCAGGGATGAAGGACAGCTTTCTGGTTTAAAGTTTAGAGTCTACAGATTTTTGAAGTCAGCACCAAGTGAAGGGCAACCAAGGCAACTTACGTTGGTTTGGAATCATATTTCCTGTGTGTTTTTGGCCGATCTCCCGTTTGCAGGCCGAGCTATCTTGCTGAGTACTAAACGCTACCGCAAGCTGCCTCCACGCAATAGTGTGAAGGAGCACCGGTGTGGTGGGCAGCTAGTTCGAGGTGCGCGCAATGGCCACGAATGAATAATGTCTTCAAAGCCTGACGACATCATTTTGGAGTGCATACAAGGGTTTCAAGTTCAAGCTTCAACTTTTTGAGGCAAGCCATGCAGATCGATTCCGTGTCGCGGCAGGGCTTGTGCTTTGGGTGTGCTTTGAAGTAGTGGCGAACAGACGCTACTATCAACTGGATTTGAAAAACAGATCAGATTAACGGGCTGCAATTAAGGATTTTGCAATGTCTTTCATTCATCAGCAATTTTGCCGAGGTATGTGAGGTCTTGTGGTGGCATGAGAACGTGGGAGGCTGCGCTGGAATGTCGCTTGGAGAGGAGATGTTGTTCTTTTTGCTTTGTTCCGTATCTCGTGGAAGACTAGACATCATTCGTGAATTGTCATTCTGCAAAGGCACTTTCTGTGCCGCACTCTATGGTTCTGAAAGAAGAGTTCATTTTTGTGCGGTTTGCTGTGGTTGGTTTACTTTAGTATTTTTGTGCATACTAGCTTGATTTGTGTACTCTTGCTCGAGTCTTTGGGACCACTGCTCCGAACTTTGGCAGAACCAAGAAACACAGAAAACAAGAAAAACTGTTTTCACTATATATATATATATATATTTCTTTTCGAGCGACTTAGTGAGTGTTTGCCATCCAAATGTGAATTTAACGATACTCATTGTCTTCACAAGACTTTGTGCACATTCAGCAAGAGTCTTGTGCAGGTGTTATTTGCAATGGCGAGCGTTTGCAACAGGCAAGTCTGATGTTGTGCACCGATCCTGTGGCCCACGGAAGACTTGAGAACAGTCAGGCCGTTGGACCATGTCGGGCCCAAGTGAGGTCTTTTTCGCAATGCAGGCAGTTAGATCAGTTTCCCCCTAAACCTAGGAACCAAATCATTAAGGCTCAGGTGGGGGGAAGAGAAGCCTGAGCCCTTCTGCGTCCAGTAGCTTGTAGCTACTAGTACCTAGGCTGCTAGTAAGCTACTTGCGACCCACCACCCCCCCGGGCTTAAAAAGGAAGGAAGGCTTTTGTTTGCTTCGTTCGTGTTGCTTTCTTGTCCAGGGCAGCTTGAAGGACTGGCATCGTGCCTGGTCTCAACATGCGCCCTTGACAAGTGTAAGGCAGCTTGAAAAGCACTGCGTATGCATATCGGACGTAACTCCGTTGGTTGGCCAACACCACATGTTGAAAGGCACTTGCTTTATTGATTTGCTTCACACCTGAGTTCTGCTGTTTGGCGTGTCTCCTCCCAAGCAAACGCAACTAATCTCTAAATGACAATGGCAAGACTGAGAAAGTGAGAAGGGTGAGGGTTGGAATGCAGATCATTTGAAGTGTGAAAGATTGCTTGCTGTAGTTCTCTACAAGCCATGCGTGACTTTAGGGTTACGATGTACGCTAAAGCTAGTTCTGATGACACAGCAAAACATAAAACATGCATAAACAATGCAAAAATAATGCAAAACCAATCCCGAAAAAAGTGCACAGAAAACGCAAAAACAAGTCACCAAAGGATGCCTTGGAATGCAAAAAAAACGCAAAAAAAAAGCGAAAAAAACGCAGTTGGCCACTAGACCAATGCAAAAAACACACAAAAAATGCAAAAAAAGCACAAAAAAGGCAAAACAGATGCACAAAAAATGCAATCAAAAAGCAAAACACATGCGATCAAAAACGTTCTGGTTTTTGCCTTTGCATTTTTTTGCTTTGTATTTGCGGGTTTTTTTCGATTTTTTTTGCATTTTTTTGGGCGTTTCCTTGAGAAAACGCAAAACAATCGAAAGAAACACACGCACAAAAAAACGCACAAAAAATGCAAAAACAATGCAACAAAATCGCACAAAAAATGCAAAAAACATGCAAAAAAATCGCACAAAAAAAGTTGTGTTTTTAATTTTGGTTTCCTTTTGCATTTTTTTGCTTTTTGATATGCACTCTTTTTGACCAGCTGCTTTTTTTGCTCTTTTTATGCATTTCTTTTGCATTTCCTGCTCATCCTTTGTGAGTGTGGTTTTGCCTTTTTTTTGCTTTTTTATGAATCCTTGAGATTTCATTTCAGAGTTAGGCTGTAAGGTACATCATAACTTTAGGGGGTCAGACATTGCCACAACTTTTGCTGTACTTGCTGATTTCCTTCTGAATCCGATAGCCTGCTTGGCACTCTTGCTGCAGACCATCTACAGCAAGATCGAATCGTATTCCTTGTCATTTCATCATTATTGTGCAGTAAAGCACATGGACCTGCGGACGTACCTGGAATGGATTGATGGTCAAATGCACAGAGACCGAGATACCGAGATACCCCCTTGGGTCGAGCCTTGACCAGGCATGATCTTTCGAAATTGAGAGCTGATGTCAGGAGCTCAAAGAGAGAAGGTTTTGCAAGCATCTTCTCAATAACGTGTCCAGCCAAGATCGCCAGCATTGAACGTGGCCAATATCCAGCAATGATGGGGCCGGAATACCACGGCGTGTCCGACTTCTTAATACTGGCTGGGTAGAAAAGCAGCGGTGCTTGTTCCAACAGCATATTTTTACTGTATGTATTTAAGCTCATGCCAAAGTCGTCAAATGACTAGTCGTCCTTGATTGACAAGGTGTCACGAGGCTTTTGGGTTGTGTAAGCTGGTCGTTGGATGGACACAGACAAACTGAGCAGTATTTTCATAAGGTCTCGCTTCACAGCGAGTGGTGAAACCTGAAGGGCTGGCTTGTCAGTGTAACTTTTACGACCATCATTGCGCCATGGTGGCACTAAAATGTTTCAAACATTCTGAAGCGGCTTGCTCTTTGAGACCTGTAACAATCGCAGAAGGTTGGTTGCATCAGCTCCACAGCACTACACGTGTATTTGTTGTTATGGTTCTTATGTTTTGTTAATTGAAGGCATTCCGAACAGATTGTATTGAGTTGAGAGTTTCTTCAGTGGCAAAGTCGTCGCAGGTTCATACGATGCCAGTTTCAGAGTGACACAGAACCAGAAGTGTAAGATCGCCACATCTACGATGACAGGGGCACATGATAACAAGGTAACTCCTTACAGTTATGTCCTTCGGAGCCCAAGCAGCCCAAGCATGAGCATATTTTTCCAAGCGGCATGCGAGATCAGCCTACAGCAGTGCAAGAAAGAAGATGCGAGATGCACGTTTCGAAGAGCTTGGCCATGTCGGGGTGGTCGGATCCTGGGCGCATGGCCCTCCTCGCGGAGCAGCACGGCAGTGGTGAGTTGATTCAGGTTTGTTTTCCTTTGTATGTAAAACATAATAGAACAACATTATATGGCCAAGTAGGTAGCTTCTTAGGCGTGGACAGAGAAGGGCTCAGGTTTCTTCAAGGAAGCTCCCGCCTGAGGGCGGGGTAGAGCTTCCTTGAAGAAGGGTTCCTAGTGTGCTTGGAGAGCGAGGGTTCTTCAAGTCGTGACTCTTTTTTGGATCCAGATATAGATATATAGTCTTCATTGGAAGGACCTGCACCAAGACTCTTGTTTCTTTCTTCACTCTATTGCCTCTACCACCTACAAAAGTGGGTCATGAGTCGTGTCATAGTCTTCTTTAGCTAGCTAAGGAGTGGCATCCACATGCGTGGCAGCTGGACCGGGTCCCTTGTTTGGTTTGCTCAGAAAGCCTAACATGTGGGCAGCACCACGATCTTGACCAAAATGCGTGGCCACAGGTTAATGGATCATTTGATTGCAGCTTCCCTCAACGCAAGGCGGGTGAGAAGAGTGCTTGATAGCAGGCAACAAGAGATTTTGGGTTGAGTGTTTTGTTCTGTAGGTGAAGACAGTCTACAATCCCTGTGGCCCACTGCCCTGGAACAATCGCAACCGAAGCCTTCTCTTCTTCACAGGCCCGGTCTTGCGAATTTCTGGCCGATATCTTCAACATGTGATAGGTGAAATTTCTTGATCTCTAGCAACAGACGTATCTGTTTTTTTGATGACATCCTGTGCGCAGGATTTTTCAACTTGACGCTGCAGATAGACAACCTAATCTTTGACGTTTCAAGCGTCTCAAGCCCTTTTGCAAAGAGACGTTTTTGGCCAGCCTCACAAGACTCACCTTGCAGTGGTCCGGACGATGTGCACGATTCCACCTTTCTCGGAGGCAGTGCTTCAAGTCTTGTCAGTTGAACCGACTCGGTTCCGATTTTCCAGCAGTGCTTTAAGTGATTGTGCTCATGAAACCGTAGCACACTCCACCCTGGAGGCTACCCTGTTCGTTTGGTTCAGCAAGGGAGGTATTTGCACCACTGGTTGATCGTGAACGTGACTTGCGGGGCAGGCAAGACAGCAGCAAAATGAAAGTTACTGCTTTGACATTGCTGGCAGATTTCAGGCGCAGCAAACACGGCCGTTTTGGAGCTGCGCGTCTGGCCTAAGTGCCTTGATGTTCACCTTATTGGAGACGACGTGGACTTCCTGGGACACTTCCAGGACGCCCGACATCATGTTTGTGGTGGACATTGATCATATCATATTGTTGCGATGTTTTCTGGAAAATTTCCCGATAAATATGACATCATTCTTTATATATATATATAAATCTCCGATAAGGAACTACAGTGTTCTTGCTTTATGCACCAGGAAGATGGCTTCGCTACAGTCGCTGGACGCGGATATAGTGGGGTGGGCCTTTGCTACTCAGTGCCAAGGTCAGGGCTCATCCGATTTGAGGTTTATTTGGGCACCTTTTATGAATTGTAGAATACAGTAGAACATGACTGTTCACAACAAGAGACATGGTTTGGCCCACTTTTGACTGTGAATACAAGTGCAGAGAACAGCAGGTGTCAAGCATACATTGGACGATTGGATGCCAAGATTCACAGGGACTGTTATGCACTGTAGAGTGGAGGAGAAAGTTCGATGAGGCGTCCGTGCCTGCAGACTGCTGCCCGTGACCCGGCAAACGAAGTTGAACCAAATCAAATGCACATCAAATCAAAGGCAGTGTGGTCGTTGGAGACCTTTGTTGCTTTCGCACCCAAGGCTTGGTGAGTCTCTTTGTGGATTTGGTCCTTCCAAAACGTGTGCCAGGCCATTGAGGCGGATTTCTTCGGATGCTGCACTCAAAACAACTTGTGGTTCATTGTGGGAGGACAGCGGGTGGGATACCCCGTCCCTTGGTGTACGATGAGATCGGACCAGGCCTTCATCTGAATGCACTTGGAACATGCTGAGAGGCTAGTCACGCGGCTAGTCTTCAGTCGCTTCCAGGTCTTCCTGCGTGGGGTGATGGTCACGCATGGCGTGTGCTTTTGAAAAGCCAAGAGAAGAATCATGCCTTTCAGGCCGAAAGAGACCTTTTGCTTCTTCTCTACCAAAGTCATTTGCTTTCACGGTTTCAGCTATGTGAATGTGTATAATGGCCTCTGGAACGTCAGATCCGGTTGAAACTGAAGAATTGTCACATCTGCCAAGGTCGTTTTGAAAAATCCAAGTGACGAGCCTGCAGATGTCAGAATAGTTTTCCAATTGGATGAGCCTAGCAAAATCACAGGCAGCTGAAGTGGAAACTCTTGCGGTTTGACGAACTCTTCTACTGTAGTAATTTGGAGACAAGATTCGTTTCCACCTGGAGTAATGCGAAAGAAGCTAAGACCTTTTAATATACAGAAGGTACATTTATGAATACACTCAAGGTCAGGCGACAAATGTATGATATGATGGAATGCCTTGTTTGCAGGTGTTGCAAGTGTGCTTCGTAATATCAGCGGGAAGCCGTCAGGTGTACACCTGCAGTTGAGTTTCTTGGATGTGCTAGAAGTGGTGGTGATAGAAGAGGGGATAGAAGTGGGTACTGACTGGCTTAGTCAAAAACATGCGAAGTCATCCTGCTAACTCCTTCGAACCCTTTTGGCATGGAATTCATTCTATTAGACACACTTTGAGCTGGATAGATGCCGCATGATCCTCTGCCGGGTTCTTGACTCGCTTTGGAGGCAAGGCTGTTGGCACGACCCTTTTATTTTCATAAGCTCCTTTAAATAGTGACCTTATGAAAGGGGGCCCTACTTTTTCTTCCCAGATAGCGAGAGTATAAGAAGAGAGGGGGATGGTGCTTTTTGCGATGGTAACCGGTGTGAATTTTCCCTGTTGTTGGTATATTTGGGTTTACAGGGCCCTTGAGCTTATCCGCGCTTACGCCTGCATGAAAACGCCGTTGGACGTCGCGGGCGGGACCAATTTCATCCATCAACCTGTAAATCCGCCGATCCAGGATTCGAATTTGCAAACAAGTGTTCTTGAAATTGCCCGTTGAGGCCTGACAGACAAGGAATGTCGGTCGCAGAACTTCGCTTTAACCCCGACAAGAATTCAGCAGGCGGTGCTCATTTGGAGACCAAATCTGGTTCGTACATCTACTATGGTGATGCCGCATCGTTTCATGACTGGGAATTCCGCACCCGCCTTCGCATTCGTTTGTGGAATGAAGGCAACAAGCGCAAGAACAATTCTAGAAGGAGTGCACCAGCGACAACACCAAAGAAGGGTGACATGCCCAATGGAGGTACTGAGGAGGACGCTGAGCTCCCAGGTTTCCCTCTTGTCGACCCAGAAGATGAAGAAGAAGAAGAAGTAGTAGTAGTAGTAGTAGTCAGCAAGCCAGATATCAGCCCGCTCGTGAACAAGATTCTTGGTTTGCGTGGAGATGCCTTTTTGCTCGCCAGGGACATCGGTCTTGATGCCCTGACCAGTGAGGAAGGATTGGAAGACCTACTGCAGAAGATGAAGGCTTTCGTTTGCCCACGTGCCAATGAGGAGGCGAAGGAGTTGTTCCGTGCTGGCCAGAAGCACGGAGGCCCTTTGTCTCGCCTGTCTGGAGAGTCCATGCTGTCGTACACCAACCGTCGCAACCGTTGGTGGTCCGTGCTGCAGGAATTGGATTCTCGACCATGATGCTGAGTGACAGTCTTCGCGCCGAACTGTTGCTCGAACTGTCTGGTTTGTCACGCCAGGAGATCCTTGTGACCAAAGCATGTGCCAACCCCAAGAACTTCGAAGGATATAGCAAGGTTCTCGTTGACCACTACTCAGGAGTTCACCTCAGAGAAGGTGGCAAGACATGGCAAGGCCGCTCTTCACCTATGACTGGGAAGGGCAAGAGCTATGGTTCGAATAGTCATTCTGGCAAAGGCAAATCATTTCGTTCTGCGTATGTCTCGTACCCTGAATGAAGGCGACTCCCACGCCTGGTTGGGAGATGGATTTGATGAAGAAGAAGAAGTGCAGGAGCAAGAGTTCGATTATCATGAAGATGAAGAAGAAGCAATTGCCTGGAATGCAATGTTGGACCTCGAGGAGGCCGACGATCGTCAAGCAGGAGAAGCTATCCAGCTTCAGCTCGCTGCATTCAATGCATTCGGCAAAGCGAAAGGCAAAGGCAAAGGTTTCGGCAAGAAAGGTTTCAAAGGTAAAGGCAAAGGCAAGGTTGTCCGCAGCCAGATGAGCATTGAGGAACGCCGTGCCAAGCTTCGTGACCTGAAGGCCAAGTCCAAGCGTCTTCGTTGTGGAGGCATGGGACATTGGGCAGGTGACCCTGGTTGCAAGTTTGCCAACAAGCCACAACCCCCGAAGCCTACTGCCAACCTAGCCTATGAGAGTGAGTCATCAGATGATGAAGAAGGGTTTGTTTATGTAGGTGCAGCCACATCCAATGAGCAGACCAATGCTGCCATGATGGCATTTCGCTCAGGAGCATCTGGTAAGGGTTCACGTCCCCGTCCGTCGCAAGCACAGTCGTCCATGGCTCATGCAAATGGTGCCACTTCGTCCGACTTAGGCGCCCGAGTGACTCCGTCGTCGGTCGAGCGCCCCATGGGATTCGACAATGTGTTTCAGATTGGACAGTTCAAGGGGAAGACCTATTGGGATGTTCTGCATCGACAACCCCAATTCTATGTATGGGCAAAGAAGGAAGGTTCTCGTGTTCTCGGAATCCAGCAGTATGTGCAATGGGTTGACCAGTTCTTTGAGTTCAGGGGTGGAGAGATTTTCCTTCGAGATGAACCTGTTCAACCTCCCCCTGCATTGCCCGGTAGCACCAAGAAAGGAACTGCAAAGGCGACACCGCCTTCTCCGCCATTGCCCAACAAGTGTCAGAACTGCCAGGAGTTTTCGTTCCGAGGGAGCACGGGATACACGATTCGTCGCGCGTGTTTGCGTTGTGGGCATTCATCCACCGAGAAAAGGGAAGAGAAACCCCAGTACAAGCCTGAAGATTGCCCGCGTGAATCCACCGATAACAGGAGATCAAGCCGTTCGACTCATCGCGTGTGGCGCAAGCAATGTTGTTCGTTCGTTGATGAACTGCCAATGGAACTACGCCGTGAGCGAGTTGCCTTGGCAAAAGCTGTTGAGTCAACAACCCAAGACAAGGTTAGCGTCATTGAAGCCATCACTCGAGATGATCAAGAAGTTTTGACCCCAGAAACGGTACTGTAGGTAGAATCTTAGGCATTTTCAGCGGTTTGGTTGAGTCCGAATGTTCGTCGTCGCCTGACACCCTGACCCAGACTCGACTTCATGAACTACTGCAAGAAGCTGCATTCCGAGACCAGATCTTGTTGGAGCAGGACCCAATCGGAGATGAGATTGCCTGGGGCCTTCGGGACCCCGAACACATAGGTTACGCTGCCGTCGAAACCAGTGCATTCGTGTTCCATTCGGAAGCGCCTTCGAGCATGAGCAATGGTCTGGCATACCCCCGACAGGAAACTAGAGACATGTGGTGCGATAGTGACCCCAACATCTATGTTTTGGACTAGGGTTGCAATAAGCACTTGCCATTCACAATACTGGATGGAGCAAGCAGAAGCCAAATTCAAGCAAGTGGGTTATGAAGTAGGCTGGGCATCGAAAGAGGGCAAGGTTTTCTCACGTCTTGGGAGTCAAGGCGACAAGACCCAAGGTTGCAGGGTTTTGCCATTTTCGTTGAACACGCAAGACGACCAAAACCTCATTCGAGGAATCCTTGAATCCCATCAGCTCCAAGAGGGTCGATCGCCGATGCTTTTGTCGCTTCATGCACAGTCCCACTTAGGCCTTGTGAAGGATTTGGCAAAAGGCACCATTCATATTGAAGGTCGCCAACTTCCCATCTTTCGTTGCAGCAAAACAGGTCTTTCGATGATTTCGTTGACCGGGGGACTGATTGATGCCGCCCGAAGTGTCATCGAAAGTTCCGCTGTTGCTACATGGCTCGAAACGTTGCACGTTGCCACGAATGAGTATGAGGCCGCGTTCACTGGCCAAAGGTTCAGCAGGCAGAAGGATGCGCAAGTTGCCATTGACCTCGCACAGACACAGGTCTTGATCGCGAGCAAAGGATCTCGCTACGAACAGCCCTTGTATCGAGGGGAAGTAGGGCGCAGGCCACTTCTCCGAGTGGACTTGAAGAATCTGAACGATCCGGATCGAGACAAAACTATGTCAGCCCACATTGGAACGCATCCTCGCATCTAGGAAGCACTTCTCGATCATGGAGAAATGCGTCGTCACCTACAGAATGCGCGTGATTTTGTGGAAAAATACGCCCGTGGTGGCGGCTGCGTTGTCGAGTTTGGATGTAGTGGCGGACGCCGCAGGTCCGTCGGGGGTGCATCCTGTTTTTCGGCAATGATGGTTGAGCTTGGATTCACTGTGACGCTGGTTCATTACGCTTCTCGGAGCATTGGAGCAGCGTGCGTTGCGGTGGCATTTGCCACGAATGCAAGGATACTTCATCGAGCCTCGACATATGTAAGAGGTTTGGTTGGATCCAGATGACTGCATTACCGGTCGGCGAGAGACACACAGTGCCTAGGGGAGGACCTCCTCCTCCTCCGCCAAGCCATGTACCAGCTGAGGACACGCCACGACCTTCGACTTCGATTCCGGATGCCAAGTCCAAGATCATTCCAAGGGCAGCCAGGTATATAGTAGATCCTCGAGGTCTACATGTGTGGCGATTCAGCGGACGAAGCGTCCACCAGGCGCCATCCAGAAACGGATGAAGCATGCACCAGTCGCCATCCAGAAGACGAACGAGATCAGAAGCTGAAGGAGTTGACAGCTACTGTCGCAAAGCTTGCAAGTGTCATTGAGCACATGTCCAAGTCGCAGAAGTCAGAGCCGGTTGAACTCAAGCCGAGATCCCGTTCGCCACGAAGGAGACATCGCAGCAGCAGAGATTCCAGGACCCCGCGGCGGGGCCGCAGGCGATCGCGCTCGAGGCGCGACTCCGGAAGGAGGTCACCGCTGCCAAGAAAGAAGAGTCCAGCGAAGAAGAGGAGCCCTTCACCGAAGGAGAGCCCCGTGTCGAGGAGCCCCGTGAAGATCGTTCCACAGAATTCTTCAGGGCATCGTAGCTTGCCATCTCGCCCGAGCGCACCTTCCAAGCCTTCGAGACCAACAGGCGCCGCTCCATGCCAAGACATTCGTCCAGGGCGTTCGACCAAGTATGAGCACTCCGATTGGGAGAACTGGAGTGACCGGGAAAGCAAAAGAGTTGACAAGAGCTGGATTGAACCTTCATGGACAAAACAGCGTGCAAGACCTCGTACACCAGAGAGTACATCGAAGAGTACACCGCCGGTGCCACCTGTGCGAAAGACTGCAATGTCTCATGATCCTTTGGAGGATATCCTGCAGGAGCCCATTGTGAAGGAGATCAAAGAATGCATGGACCAAGCCGGATCCAGTCAATCGGGTCTCTGGTCAAACAAGCATTATTCGCAGGTCGCAGTACGGGTCTATGATTCAAATCCTACAGAGTTGACAAGTGCACACCTCGACGAACTTGTCGCATTGGCCCGCCGCCACAAGAACCGTGATCGAACTCTGTGGATCGCAGATGATGAATCACCGTCGTTGTGCGATGGAGAAGATCACCAAGGTGTTCGTGTGAACATTCGCATCAAGGGTGGTTGTCACACCACCTATGTGCCTTTCAATAGCCGCACCATGAGTGGCTGGCTCAAGACCACGTTCGTTCGTGAGAGGAACAGCGACACTGAGCCGCCAGGACCTTGGTATTTGGCTGAGCACATGTTCAAGATCGATCGCCGCAAGAACCTTGACAACTCGTGGTCCGACATGATCACGTTCGCATATCCAGGGTCGAATGCCGGAGGTGAGAAAGTTTTGCGCTCAGATGCCAAGGAGAGTGTTGGTCGACTTTGTGCTTAGGACAACCCAATTCCACCAAAGCCGTCTAGATTGCGTATCAAACTTGTAGAAGCTTTGCCAAGGGTTGTTTTCAAGGAAGAAGATTCGTCGTCGGACACGGAATCCACCACAGCCGATTCGTCGCCGACGTGTGCAAGAACCCCTTGTGGCAACCTCGCATGTTTCGAACCTTTTGCGTCTGTGGGTACCATTGATCTGGGCCCGAGCGATTCAGATGTTGTGGAATCACAAATTGTCAAGGAAGATGATTTTGAACCACCTTCAACAAACGAGTCGCCTGAAGCAGACCTCACGGCTGCATTCGTTGCAATTGCACCAGAAGAGAGAACCACTCTGAGTAGAATCGCACCAATGGATCACTGTGTACAGTATCTTTGTCGGTTGAAACCCATTGATGCCAATCCTCCCACTATTTGCATCATCACTGACCATCCATCCGTTTTCCAGGACAATGACTTTGACATCTTGGAGGCCGGTCACGACTGTTGCAACTTCGAAGCAATGCCGGGAGAGGTCAATTGGCGAGAGATTTTCGCCCAGCATGATTTCATTGTGGTAGCCTTGGGTACTCTGCAAATGAGACCCCATTAGGACATGCAAGGTTGCTTCATGAGCTCGAAATGCATGCAGAGGCAGATGATAGAACTTGCTTTTTACACATTGATTCATCCACCGCCGCGAGATGGGAGCAGCGTGTATCGCAACAGACCCCGTACTTGACTGATCATTTGGGTTTTACATGCAATGATGCACAAGTCCAAAAGAGCTTTGAAGATTGGAGCCAAAGCAAAACAATGGACCATGTACTGTCTTAATTCAGACATGGGTTCGCGGTTGAAAGATTTGCTTCATGATTTGACAGTGACAGATTTGCTGTCTACTGCATTCCCTGCTTTCGCGCAAGAAGAACGTGTTGAACGCCTTCCGACCATGGATGTTGTGGAAGGAGAGCAAGATGTAGGAACCATCAACCCTGTCCCAGAGCTGATCGAAGAGGAGACCTTGTTGGATGAAGTGGACATCCCAGGACTACCTCTCGAGGAGTCTGAAAGGCGTCGCCAGTGGCGGAAGCTTCCTCAGAGAGTCCGCATTGGTGTGAGACGTTAGCACCATCAGTTTGGACATGTCCCTCGCAAGGTTTTGATCAACCTGCTTCGCGCAGCTGAGGTACATGAGGACTTCGTGAAAGCCGTTCGATTGCACCGTTGCCAAACGTGAGAAGACACCAGCCAGAAACAGCCAACACACAAGACGCAGTTGCCATGGGATTATAGGTTCAGTCACACCCTGCGCATTGATTTGTTCGAAGTGATTGACATTGATGGCGCAAAGTTCCAAGTTTTGAACATGGTTTGTGTTGGAACCACCTTTCAGCTGGCGCATGTTGTGAGGCAAGGTCCAGGCCAGTGTTCATCAAGTGCTTGTTTGAAAGCGTTGCAAGAGCGTTGGTTTTCGTGGGCTGGACACCCTGTGCAGGTCATTTGTGATCGAGGGTTGCGCAACCGAGGAGTTTTGCAGAAATACATGGATGAGCGCAACATTCCTGTTTTTCACACCCCACTGGAACCCCCTGAAGGGATTGGCCGTGTTGAGAGACATGGAGGATTGCTCAAAGGCATGTATCGCAAGATTTGCCATGAAATCCAAATTCAAGGCAGAGAACAGGTTGAGACCGCTTTGTCTCAAGCCTGTATGGTGAAGAATGAGCAGAATCGAGTTGGAGGATTTTCACCAAGCCAATGGGTTTTAGGCAAAGGACCTTGGGAGGCCCCAAGCATTGTGTCAGAAGAACAATGGGCACAGCTAGGAGCCATTGAAGCGAAGTATGATTCTACAAGCATTTTTGCATTGCAACATCAAGCTCGCATGGAAGCACAGAAAGCTTTTGTTCACCTAGATTGCTCCCGGAGAGTGCGAAAGGCACTACTCAGAAATGCATCGACCATCAAGCGCACCTATTCGGTAGGAGATTCAGTCGTGTTTCGTAGGGACAACCAGCGTGGAGGTCGGCAATGGTCACCACCTGCAAGAGTCATAGGTCAAGAAGGTCTATGGTTGCTTTGTGGTAATGTTCCCGTTTTGGTAGCTGCCCAAAACGTCCGACCTGCAACCGCATCCGAGGCCTTAGCACTTAGCATTTTGCACGGTGATCCGATTGTTCCCGGTGAGATTGTATAGAAGGTACAAGTCAACAATCGTTTCTAGAGGCTCGCATGAGAGGCTATGAAGAGGTTGACGATGAGCCACCTCAGCCTGCCACAGAAGGACCATCCTATTTGCCGGAACGATTTCCGCCTGTTCCGAACAGGATAAAGACATCTGGCAGATTAGCCCTGAGACCTTTGGAGAAGTTCCTGATGGAGAAGAAGAAGGAGAAGACGTCAGTGAAGACGGAGGCCTGCGTCCTCAACGGCCGGTCCGTCGCCAAGAGCCGTCCGTCCAAGGACTGGAGAGCCGGAGTCAGAGCCATCTCGAGATTCGAGAAGATCATCAAGTGAGACTCCAGCATCATGGCCGAATGTAGCAAGCAATTTGGACGATTTGCCTCTTTCGATCCGACAACATTTGGAAGAGCTTCGCAGCTTGCAGAGCAAGATCCTTCGACAACTGCTAGTCTAGCAGCTGTGTTTTTGGCACAGTACACCGAAGACAATGAGAGACGTGTGCTTCGTAGCAATGACTTCGAGACAGCGCCACCGCCCTAAGTCTGCTGAAGTAGTAATTTTACTAAATCCGTGAAATTACTAAAACTGAAAAATTACTATATAAAATTACTAAATAATGCATCTTTAGTAATTTTGTGAGAACTCAAAAATGCATCAAAAGTGCATCAAAAGTGCTTCAAAAGTGCATCATAAAAGCTTCGAAACTGTGCATCACAGCAGCCACAAGGAATGTACTGCACAAGTAAAAGAAACATGCCCAAGTAGGCCAGGAATGTGTGTGAAAATTGAAAAAATCAATCACCACCTGTGGATGGTGGGGGAACTCTCACAAGTGGAAAGCACAAGTGGAAAAACGCAGCCTTGTCTCTATTCAAGACCAGCTTGCCCTGAGCATGGTCTATGCTGTGGTTCACCAACATTCTCTGTCGTTCAGTCTTTCCTGTCTTGAGCTGCTTGCTTTTCTCCACTCCTCTTCAAGCCATTCTGGAAGCGCTCCAGAGGCCAGCATTGTTTTAATTTCGCATTCTTGCTGCGGTCTTTCTTCTGGTCTGTCTCCTTTGGCATGCTGAAGTTGGTGTTGGGGTCGACCACCTCATCGCACGTAGCAACCTCCTCTTCTGGACCCTCTGTGCTCTCCTGTTCTCTTCTGCCTTCTCCAAACCCTCTGACCATTTCTTCTGTTTCTTTTCTGGCTTTGTGTTCTCAGGCTTCTCTGTTGACTGACTTGGCTTCTTCAAGACCTTCAGAACCTTTGTTGTAGGTTTCTTCATCACAGCCTTGCCCTTGGGCTGTGCCTTTGCCTTGCCCTTGACATGCGCCTTTGGCTTGCCCTTGGCATGCGCAGCAGGCCTCTTTTTGGGCTTGACACTCTGGTGAACAGTCTGGTGAGGACTTGGTTGTGTAGCAGGCACTTCTGCTTCTCCACCATGGCTGGACATGGCTCTAGTCTCTAGTACCTCAAGAAGATCTATATTATATATGGTAATCTTGACTGCACCCAAAAGACATGAAGAAGCTCTGGAAACATAACAACCCAGGTACTAACCAACTAAAGTCTCAAGTACTTTGGTCTTTACACAATTAAGACCCCTCCAAGTAACTTGCCTCAAGGTGCAAAAGCAATCCAAGAGACCAGGTCCTTTTGAATTACAAATTTTACACAACCAAGACCTCTCCAAGTAACTTGTCCCAAGATACTAAAGCAATCCAAGAGATCAGTTCCTTCTGACTTAGAAACATTTTTATAGATTTTTCTTAAAATTTTTATGTTTTTATTGAACTTTAGTGATGCATTTTTGATGCGCTTTTGATGCACTTTTAAAAGTGCATCAAAATGATGCACTTTTGATGCACTTTTAAAGGTTTTTGATGCACTTTTGATGCACTTTGAAAGTGCATCAAAAGTGCGTCACTAAAATTTTATAAAACCATATAAATTTTAAGAAAAATCTATAAAACTGTTTCTAATTCAGAAGGAACTGATCTCTTGGATTGCTGTAGAATCTTGGGACAAGTTACTTGGAGAGGTCTTGGGACAAGTTACTTGGCATTCCAAGTAATCAGGTATCTCAAGTATTCGCAACACAAGTTGACTCACAAGTATATCAAACCTCGAGTATTTCAGTTTATCAGAGTACATAAGCATGGTCAAATCCATGCGATCCAAGATGTCCTGGGTGTTTCCTTGCCTTGGACAAAGCTCAAGCTGGTTTCTCTCAAGTAATACCCGCAGGGCTTTCACCACCTTCGAACTGAGCAGCTTTGTATTATTTGGAGCCAAACCAACCAGATCATAAAGCAGACCTGCAACTTTGGACAGCCAAGATCCATTCACAGGTGTTTGCCACATCACACTGACCGGCCCTCCTGGAGGAGGAGAAATCAAAGACCAAAGGTCTGAACACTTCTTGAAATCCAAGTAGTGTCCCAAAACCCTGTGAAGGTCTTGGACAGTCACCAGTGGGTCAGCCACCAGCCGCGCTCATTGTGCCCTCTCTGCTCTCTCCAGAGCAGCCACCTTTTGCCTCTCAACCAAAGCAGCAGCCAAGGAAGCCATGCTGCAGCACACACCTATGTTTACGCTTGCTTAGGCCTCCAAACTAGCAACGCACAGCTGTCAAAGAACATTCCCACAAGTAACATGGCAAGTCTCAGGCAAGCAGCAAGAACTCACAAGTAACATGCCAAGACTCAGGTAATGCAACACAACCTCACGAGTATAACTTGCCAAATCTCAGGCAGGCAACAAAAACTCACAGGTAGTATGCCAAGACTCAGGCGTATTGCAACACAACCTCACAAGTACTATAACTTGCCAAGCATCAGGCAAGGAGCAGAAACTCACAGGTAAAATGCCAAGACTAAGGTATAATGCAACACTGCTTTACAAAATGTCCCACACTGTGCCAAGTAGAACCCTGTGCCAAACATACAATTTTGACACTAGTTTTTGGTCAAAGAAAGATGGACACTTCTCATGTGTTGCATAAAAAACTATACCTTTTAGAAATTACTATATATAGTAAATCAAATTACTATATATAGCAATTTTTTACTAAATAAAATCACTATTTTTAAAAAAGTAGTTTTTGTATAGTAATTTAAAAATTATAGTATTTTATTGTCTTAGTAAAATTACTACTTCAGCAGACTTAGGGCAGAGACCCAGGAAGGGCTTCGCAAAGCAATGGAAAAGGAATGGGAGAAATTCCTTCATTTCGGAGCCGTTGTTGTGATAGAAGGAGCCGAGAAAGACGCATTGTTGCAGCAAGGACATGTCACGATCCCCAGCAAATGGGTCCATGTGGACAAGAATGAGTTCAAGAAGCGCGCGCCCGATTATCAGCCGAAGTGTAAGAGCCGATTAGTGTCGCACGGAAACTTTGAACAGACAGAAGGCATTCGCTCCGATTCTCCGACCGGAGATAGCGATTTGCACATGATCATTACCGCGTGGGCTTCCGTTGTTGGAACCAAATTGCATTCCGCAGATGTAAGTAATGCCTATTTCCAGTCAGAGCCGTTGGATCGAGTACTCCTCCTTCGACAGCCGAGAGGCGGACTGCCTCAAGTTGATCCCAACGCCGCACTGTTGGTACGAGTTCCTGTGTATGGACTCACAGACAGTGGAAGATCATTTTTGCTTCGTTTGTCGTCAGATGCCAAGAAGGCTGGACTTACTCCAAGCATCATTTGCCCAGCATTCTTTTACAAGCTCGATGAGGAGAACCGTTGCATTTCCATGCTGACAGCACATGTTGATGACTTGTTGTATAGCTATTTGCCAGAAGCAAAGGAAGTGTTGGATTCGTTGTTAGGCTCCTATGAACTAGGTTCATTGGAAGAGACGAACTTCCGCTACTGCGGTAAAGCTTTTGGTGAACAGAACGCAACACTGTTTATCCACACAAAGGACAACGCCCGAACGATCAAGAAAATCAAAGTGGACAACAGCCAGAAGTTGTCAGAGAAGTTGAGCCCAGATCAGATCACGAAGTTGAGATCTGTTGTTGGCTCGTTGGCTTGGGTAGCAAGACAGGGACGTCCTGATTTGGCGTGCCGCGTCAGCTATCTTCAAACAGCGATCAACGGCGCGACCGTTGGACTCCTGCACGAGTGCAATAAAGTAGTCGATTTGGCACACAAGCAACTCGAAGATGTCGTGTTTCAATTCCCAAGAGATCATTTGAAGACGACCGATTGGCGCAATGTTGGTATCATCAAGATGCTTCATTCTGCAACGAGAAAGGTTTCAAGGCGGCGCAAGGACGTGCGCACCTTTTGGCCAATGTGGAGCAGATGAAGGATGAGAATGTGTACATTTACCATGTGCTGCCATTAGGCTTTTCGCCCACGACCATCAAGAGAGTGTGTCGTTCGACACTCCAAGCCGAGACGTATTCGTTGCAATCCGGTATAGAGAGCGGAGACAAGATCCGTGCCCTTATCGCTGAGACGAAGGGTTGTTTGCGCAGCCGCAAGGACTGGGAATCCGTTATGAGATCCTGTGTCTCGCATTTGCAATTTTCGGATTGCCGTTCGCTTTGCGATCACCTCGATGCAGAGACACTAGCCAAGGTGTCAGATAAGAGACTCGGGATTGAGTTGGCCGCAATTCATGAGAACTTATGGCAAGGACCACAGAGGACATGGAATATTTTCCCGAACGGAGGAGATCGACTTGACTGGATCAGCGCTCATACGATGTTGAGTGATTGTTTGACCAAGACCATGAAGCCGGACCTACTACTTTCGGTCCTTCGACCGTGCGTTTACCAAGTTGACAAGAACAAGGAGAAACGACGAGCAGAACGATGAACCGTAGAAGATCATAGAGTTGCCGAAGAAGAGAAGTTTCACTGCCTTAAGCGTAGAACGCACTACGAGTAGTTTCCTTGTAGAAATTCCTGTATAGCTGGCGGATTTGTACATTAGATCCCGGACAGGCTCGAAGAACAGGTTGAGTGTGAATTTTCCCTGTTGTTGGTATCTTGTGTACATCCGAGTTCTGTCCATGGTGCATTCCGCCGCCATTTGGGTTTACAGGGCCCTTGAGCTTATCCGCGCTTACGCCTGCGTGAAAACGCCGTTGGACGTCGTGGTCGGGACCAATTTCACACCGGTGTATTTCCAGACGGTTGCATTCATCGGTGTTTTTCCAACCCGTGGCCGGTGTTTTTTGCGACGGTAAGCTGTCAACCGGCGTTTTTTGCGACTGTTGTCACGTCAAAGTCAAGCGGCTGCCCACAAACGTTCTTGCCACAAACATGTTTTGCTCTTTGGGGCTTGTACAAGTTTTTGAAAAATGTTTGATCTGCTCAAGACCTGAGTGATGTCTAAGAAGAAACCTGTGTTTGCATATTGCAGAGTGTGATAGACCTAGGCTTATGCCGACTCCACAGACCGAGCCAAAACTCTGATGATTTGGCAAGTTCCCACTGAGGCAAAAATTGGCACCTCAACGACTGTTACTGGGGTCGCATTCGCTATGATGGCACATGGTACTCTGCCATTGCGCCTTGTTTGCACGCAAAGATGCTCTCCTTAAAATTGTGGCGGTTTTGGAACTGGCAAGAGCAGGTCGAGCTGTCTCTTCCGCCTTTCACACAGATCCATGCGGAGCTGTTGGTTCCTTGGCCCAGAGAAGCTGGCACTTGACTCAAAGTTGCAGTGCAGGCACTTCGTCTTTGGTTTTCCATTCAGCTAGATGATATTCAGAGGAAATTATATTTTGATAGTTGAATTGTCTTCACTGAAGAATCACAAACCTGCATGTTTGATGAAACCTCTAACACGACATCATGAAAAATTGGATGGCAAACAGTTTGGGAGTGAACAGTCAAATAATGAGTACTTGTTTCGACTGTGGTTACCCAACTTCGGTCATCAGGTCGTGTACCAATTCTTTGGGCGGCTTCATAGCGTGTCCCATGCACAGCTCTCCCTCATAGGCCACGCTGCAGCCACACAGACAGAAGAACGAAAGACATGGAAGTACTCGGATGCTCTGCAGGGTGGCCGGGCTCCAATGGCTTGTGGGAGGAAGTTGGCCTCGGGGCTGAGGGTGAGTCGATCACCTACGAACCCAACTTGTGCCTCATCTCATACGAACCACTGTGAGTGATGTGACAAGGTGAGTCAATCTTGACATTGAGAGCCTGTCTAGCTTGCGCTCACTTAGATTTCGTTCTGTATTGAAAGGCAGCAGAGGCGGAACATGATTCTTGACACTCGGCCCTTCCTGGTTTGTGCGATGGACACTCCCAAATGCCATTGCTTCAAGGACATGCAATTGCCTATTTTTTGGAACATCCACGACAGGAATTCTTTGAGTGTTTTGTGTGGGTTCATGTTTTCTGTCTTCTTCAGGCCTTACCCCGGGCCAATTACTTTACAAGCATTGTAATGGAACCGTTTTGAGACAGAAAGACATGTGATAGCTGTGGAGCTTTGTAAGAGCAAATCCGTCAGGAGGTCAACTCGAGCGGCAGCTTTGCAGAGATACGATGCGAGTCAACCAAGGCGCGCGAGGATTGTTTGCTCCAAGCCAGTCGGATGCACAACGGTTTTGGTCGCCAACTTTGCAGAGGTGACAGAGATAAGGAGTCAACATGTCAAAAAATGACAGTGTTCACCACCAAAGGCGCAGAAAGAGTTTCAGTGTTTAAAATCTTGTTAGGCCGAAGGCTGTCTGGGAGATGTGGAAACCACCGGCTGGACGGAGAATCATGGTGGCTCTGAACCTCAGTGGAGTTGGCTGCGTTTCCCTGAAACTCTATAGACTGGTTGCAGGCATATTTGTTAACCAGCTTTTCTGTGAGCCGTTGAAGTTGAAGAAAAAACATTTGTTAAACAAATTGAACTTCTTCGCACACTTTCCAATTGCTCGCTTAGCATAAAGCTCCCTCTCAGCCCAACAAGGGACCATTATCCATTGTTTATTGAGTCTTTTTTTCAAATTCTACCGTATGTTCATTGTTCACTCAATAGGTGGCACTGGTCTCAGGACTTTCTCGTGGCCATCAATGAAACTGGGTGTTTTGCTCAGCCATGCTGGTACTGCAATTTACATTCGGCTTGATGTGGTTGTTGAGTCGACTGCAATTTTCAGCTCGTCTGAGTTCTTTTTGGCTTGTCAGATCAGGTCTTATCAATACCTCACAAATGTCACATCTTGGCATTTCTCCAATGGCCCACGCCTCACGAATGCCAGCTACGACGGCCTCACCTCTGATGGCGCAGTGCAGGTTCAGCGGCAGGTAAGCACCTGGGCCACGCAAGACTTTGCTCGACATTTGCACTCTTTTCGCTACAAGGTCTTGAGGACTGACAGTCAGAAGTGACAACCGTAGATCTGTGTAACTCAACAACCGTAGATTTCCTTTGGCTGCAGGAATGTCTCCTATCCACGGTTTGCACTCTACGTCCTCGGAGCTGACTGGTACAACTTTGTAGCTGATCCAAGCTTTATCTATGGTGACATGAATGGGCTGCACGGGATGGCTTCGTGACTTGGAGTCGAAGCTTCGGGATGGCTTTGTCATGAAGGCAGTCTCCAGACCGAACGCTTGCTTAAGCAAGCGGAGCATTTCAGGATTCTGACGTCCCAGAGCTTTATATATATAGTTTTATGCATCATTCCCATTTCTGACCAAGTGAAAAATGAGGAATCTCTCAGAGCAGCTGGAGCGATACGAATACTCCACGACCTTCAGACACATGTCTTGCCCCTCGGGACTTGTACAAGGGACTTTCTTGTGATCTTTGAGCCTGGTGTCGCGTTCTTTTTTAAGAGTACAGTACATAGAGGTGTTTATATACCGTAATTCATTTTCCTTGTCAGAAACACACATTATGTCAATTGCTTTGTCATGTTGCAAGGTCATGTGCCCTGCTGGTTTGCCATGCTCACAAAGTCTACTCAGGACCCCAGCAGCCAAGCTGATCAAATTCATTCAAGGGTTTTCAGGCTTCGTCCAACAATATTATGCACCTTTTTTCCAATTCTTTCTCAGAGGTGCTCGAAGGAATGATAGCACACCACCATGGAACCTTTCTTTTTGAGGAGACGCATCATGCCCATCGTGGTCTCATTTTGAGACAATTTTCTGCAGAGGTTGGAGGAAGACGTGAAGGCCAGCACGGACAAAGATGGCAAGCAAATACTTTTTGAAGTGGTGGACAAGCCTTAAGCCATGCCAAGATCCTTCAACAAGTTCCACCGAATATCTAGAATCTAGCATCACGTTTGTTCCTTTGGGTTTAACATTGCTTGCACTCCGACAAAACGGACTTAACAAGTCGTGAAACGATGATGGTGGACTAAAGCTTCTATATAATTATATAAAGGCTTTGTGGCCAGGTGGTCATTGCTGCTATTAACGCGGGACCTTTACACAACCTGAATAGTTTCATTAGGATGGCCATCACCCACATCATTTTTGACCAGGGTTTATACAGTTAGAGCCTCAACTTTGGGCAACTCCAGCTTTCTTGCTGGGTCCAGGCTAATGGAACTAGACTCAGAGACACTGTTTGCCGGGCAACTGCAAGGTCCAACATTCTCTCTCATCGGCGCTGACCACTTTGGCCAACGCACGTTGGGCTTGGAGCTGGGGGCTGGCAGTGCCCAACACTTTCAGGCTGATATCGTTGCAAGAGTTGTCTACTGTTGCTCCGTGTTTTTGTTCTTGCCTGTGCAGGCTGGGGACACCATCTCTGGCGAAGTGGAACTTTTGCTGTATCCCAAGAAAGAGTCCGCCACGTTCTCAGGGTCATGCATACCATTGCTTAGAGGTTTTGGATTCTGCAAAAAAGAGAGAACTGCATGCAGTGTTTCATCCAACCGCAGTACTCCAAATTTCTGCGGATACTACAGTAGTAGATGTATTGTATGTTGGCTCGAAGGAGAACCCTTCCTGTGAGTGTCTACAGCTCTACGGACTAGCAGTCGCGAGGTAAAGCAATGAAACCTCGAGCGCACGTGTTTGCAAGAGTATAAGATTAGGCCGCTTCCTGTACGACTATGCCAACTCTACCCAGTCCTACAGTTCTATATGTTCTAAGTTGCTGGGCGGATGCACATACACTCCGAAACTCCTTGGTTTTGTGGGGAGACGTCTCAGGTCTACTATGGTCGAGCAGCATTGCAGCTACAAAACGACTGGGAGTTGGTTTTCCGAGAGACCCAGTTGGAGGCCATTGGTGAAAAATCCCTGCACAGACCGCAGATTATGTGTGGCTCCTGCGGCTCCGGTGCAGGAAGTCCGCAGCCATTTCGCACAATGAAGCTTTTTCAGCAATAGGGGGAGGCCCATTGCTTCTCGGTCGGAGGCCATCGCTATTGTTTTGACATGTAATTGTGTAGTTGACTTTGGAGGCGCATGTGCTTTTGCAATAACAAAAGCAATGGCTTTCAACCTAATAGCGATGGCCTCCAACCCAATAGCGATGGCCGGACTCCAACCTAGTGGCGATGGCCTCCAACCCAATGGCGATGGCCTCCAAGCGAATAGCGATGGCCTCCAACCCAATGGCGATGGCCTCCAAGCTAATAGCGATGGCCTCCAACCTAATGGCGATGGCCTCCAACCTAATAGCGCTGGCCTCCAACCTAATAGCAATGGCTTCCAACCTAATAGCAATGGCTTCCAACCTAATTGTGATGGCCGCCAACTTAATAGCGATGGCCTTCAACCTACTAGCGATGACCTCCAACCTACTAGCGATGGCTCCCAACCTACTAGTGATGGCCTCAAACCTACTAGGGATGGCCTCCAACCTAGTTTTGACATGTAACTGACTTTGGAGGTGCATGTGCTGGAGGGTCAGCTTCAACGCAAGCATCCTTTGCGCCTTCTTGTGAATGCCAGAGGCGTGAACTGCAGATGGACTAAACTGCTATGGCCAGTGTGGTAACTAGACATTGCCAAATTGCAGCTGCACTGCAGTTTCTATGACTTGCGTATGTGTGCCTGTTGAGTAGCGGTCGAGATACTTGCATTGCCAGGACAGGCAGAATTCAATTTCAGTATACCAGCGAACTACTCAGGCAGTCGGCAAACTTTTCGCTGTGTAGCAGCAACCTTCAAGGAATGTTTACATTGAAAGTTGAGGGAACTGACTTGTTTAGACACCTGGAGAAGCTTGGGATTAGAACATTCTAGAATTATAGTTACTAGAACCAGCTGTGCACGGCTTTCATCATAGCTGATGCTCGAATGCACTAGCGCTAAGAGGGGTGGTGAAAATCATACAAACGCTGTAAATCCAAACACCTGAACCACCTCATCACCCTTGAACACCATTAGCAGCACAAGCAACAGCAACAGCAGCAAAGGACCCAAGCCCCACTACTACCCCTGAAAGCATCGCTTTGTAGAGTTGCAGAGGCACGGAACCTGCAAAACAACTACCACAGTATCAACGATTTACAACTCATGTCTATTAGGTTGGAGGCCATCGCTATTAGGTTGGAGGCCATCGCTTCTAGCTTGGAGGCTTATCAATGATTACAAGTGATTTGAGTACTATGTTCCATACGATCTGACTCTGGAGGAGTGCTGCCTGTGACCATTGCCGGGGTCGAGGGCTTGCAGGGTTGCCTGCAACACTTCCAGCACGAAGTCTGCAAAGCGGAGTTCGAAGGCTTGGTCGTGTGCTTTGAGTTCTTTGTTTTTTGGGACACTTGTAGTGTACTGCTCTGCCCGTGTCTTAAGTTTGCTTGTCACTGATACACGTCAAGAATTGACCAAAACTCCGTGTAAGATGACATTTTGCAGGTGGCGAGTTCCAAGTGGATTACATAATGAACGAAGGCTATTCATACACCTACAGATTCTTGGAATTGATTATGAATATTGTCTTCCAGCAGAAAAGGCCGAAGTCCTTATTAACTAGTCAGAACTTGTCGTAAATCCAAAGACTCGGTGTGGAGTCATTTGATTCAGGCAGATGCGGCTTTTTACGTTTCACTTTTCTCTTTCCTTACCTTCCTGCTTGCAAAGTTTTGCTCCGACTTCTACTTCATTTGAAGGCTTGCCAGACGTGGAAGAGCCTCACTTTTACTTTGACTCTGACTGTGGGGCAGCTGGCTAGCTGATGAGTCACTGGACCAGTCGACCAGCTGAGTCGGTTGAGATGGCCTCAGAAGCGTAAGAAGACGCCAAGTCTGAATTTCCACGAAGCTCCTGAGAAGACCTGCAAGGAGAACTGTGCAGAGAGTCACAGCGACAAACACTCAAAAACAATTGAACATGTTTGCACAGTTAAGATGCATTGGCACATTTATGTCATATCCATGCCGTGCCTTCTTTGCTGCAGGACGGCTCATGTCTGTCATTCCAGAGTACGGACACATCGCTCTGGGTCCTGTTGGGTACGACTGGCTGCAGAAGGAGATTCGATGTGAAGCACATCGTGGAGACCGGACACAGACTTTGGAGACTAAACATCGTGGAGACTTTGTCAGCGTAAAATCTCTATTTCTTGGTGAGTGAGTACCAACCATGTGCTCATAGCAGAGGCTTGGCAGAGGGCTGATGAAGCAGTGTAACAAGCTAAAGCCTCCGCTCCGAGCTTCTTTTGGGATGGCTCACCATGATAGCAGGCAGGAGGAGAAAGAAACTGTGCCTCAGTGCTAGACTGCTAGACAGAGCGAGAAGGATTCCAAGATGTTTAAGTGCATTGTTTGAAGCTGATAGTTGCTGATGCGTTTGCTGGCCATTGTCAGCTTTATTTTGATTCGTTTGGCGAGACAGAGTAGCAGCTGTTGACATCATACTCCGACGGCAGCCAGTACTGAGTACTGGTTTAGCGTCAAATTGACTTGACAATTGAGTCTGTAGGAACCTTGACAAGCAGTTGGCAAACACCAAACTTACAGCATCATGTAGCCTTTGCCTTTGCAAGTCTTTCATGATGTCCACCACGATGGCATGGTGCCCCAGTTCCCAACTCTTCTGCCAGACTCCCCTTTTCTCAATGAACTCGAGGCACGCCTTGGTCGACCGCTTGGTGTAGCTATAAGGAGGCAACGGGCAGCTTTTGGGTGAGAACTTACTGTATCTTTGTCGGACAGGCTTTCCTTGGTCAAGTTGACTTGCAGGTAGTTTCAGGTGAAAGGATTGACTCAGCAGGTTTTTGAGATTGGAGCACCGGAGCGCCAAATCCGTTGGCTTCGTTCTTTTCCGAGGTGGACATTGCCATTTGTCCAGCAAGGCAAGAAATGTGCAAACTGCAGAGCTTTCGAACCCTGCAGACTCGAGACATACAGGTGTGACTTTGGGCGACGGTTTCCTGCGAGCTCAGGCATAGATGATAGCGGAATATTCTCAGAATGCACTGAAGTTCAAGTTCCAGAAAGCAAAGATCAGACATTTTTGAAGCCGAAGCTTTTTTGATAGCGAGGCCTTCCAACAGGTCTGTTGCAACTCCTCATGTTTGAGGTGGGTGCTGTATGTTGCCGCTCCACGCCAAAGTTCCTTCAATTCCTTGCTTTCCACACCACAGGCCAGCGCTGGCCACCGGCACTTTGGGGGCGCCAAGATCAACGGCGCCTCTCCATCACTTCATACACTTCATAACATTGAAGTCTCCCAACTTTTACTTACCGTAACACATAGCAAGGGCCCATACGTGTTTGAATTTGAATAGGGTTCTTACCTATTTGAGGGCCACTCGAAGTGCCTATAATACAGCCATACCGAGATGCACTCATTCAGGTACTTGGCCCCATGTCGCAGCAGGCAAGGATGAACATCATAACTCAAAGGTGAAAGATTTTAGATAGGTTGGAGGCCATCGCTAGTAGGTTGGAGGCCTTCGCTAGTATTTAAACTTAGGTCGGAGGCCATCCATCGCTAGTAGGTTGGAAGCCATCGCTAGCAGGTTGGAGGCCATCGCTCGTAGGTTGGAGGCCATCGCTAGTAAGGTTGGAAGACATCGCTAGTAAGGTTGGAAGACATCGCTATAGGTTGGAGGCCATTGCTAGTAGATTGGAGGCCATCCATCGCTAGTAGGTTGGAAGC